TTTTCAAGGGGTATGTAATCCAATATTTTTTAAAGATTTATTTACTTTTATTAAAAATATAAATCAGATTTATGGAGAGAAAGAGATCTTCCATCCACTGGTTCACTCCCCAAATGATCCCAAGGCTAGAGCTGAGATGATTTGAAGCCAGAAGCAGGGAGCATCTGGGTCCCCAAAGCAGGTGCAGGATCCCAAGGCTTTGGGCCATCCTCTTACTTCTTTCCCAGGTCATGAGCAGTGAGCTGGACAGGAAGTGGAACAACCAGCACACAAACCAGCACCCGTATGGAATTCCAGGTGAGGCTTTAGCCATGAAGCCATAGCACCAGGCCCAATTATTTGTTCTTTTAAAGAACTTAGGAGGTAAATTTATAAGAAAAATATAGGTCAATAATATTTTGTGAAAAGTGGATGCAATCTCATTTCCTTCTTTTAAATATGATTTTTGTTAGTTTATACAATTCTTTCTTAAATGCACCAACATTCCTCCTGAATGTTGTAATCAAATCTGTATTTCAGGGTCCTAATCTATAAGCCTAAGATATCTTTCTGGAGGCATCTCTGTCTCCTTAATGCTTAACAATTTATTGATTCTAATGTATTTTTGAAATTTTATCCCAGCAGGCTTTGACAGGTGGGTTGCAAAGGAAGAAAGGCCCATCCTTTTCTAGTTCAGTGATTAGGGAAAATAAGTGTTGATGGATGATGATGACAGTGATGACTTTCTTATAAACATTTAATCGGCAATGTTTTCACTAATCTTCAGTCCTGATATGATGTGTACTGTTACTTTTTGTTTGTGTTACAGATGAAAAACTGAGTCTTAGAGTGATTCACTTAAACATTTAACTGATAATTAGCATGGCCAGAATTCAAACTCAGGTCTGGCTAGCCTGAGTGTCTATTCTTAATCATTACTGTTTACACTGAAATTAAAATGTGTTAATGATTAGAAGCAAATATGTTTATAAAAGACCCTCTTTAATAAAATCACCTCATGATTTTGTTTCTGGCAAAGAAGTGATGTTTTCGTTTAATGTGGGATTTTACCTGTCTTAGTGCTGAGGGTTATCTGCAGACTGGAAGAACACTTATGGTTTGTGCCTTTCTAGTTTCTTGTTTTAAAACTGAATAAAGTGAGATTGCCAGAGAGATTTAGAGACCCAGCGCTTCCACCTGTACTGTACGGAGTCCAGCGCTGTTTCCTCAGCCTTTGATACAGGCTTCTGAATATACGTGAACAGAAACACAATCAGCATCCATATCTGGGTTTTACTGTGGATTGAACCTTTCTTAGACGCAGATCAAAAATTTTCAGACATTGTTTACTGAATAGATCCACATTGTTTATTCGTATCATTATTCCCTAAACATAACACTGAAGAGATCCACATTGTTTATTCGTTTCATTATTCCCTAAACATAACACTAGGCACACAGTACTTAGATATTATAAACCATCTAGGGATAATTTAAAGGACATAGACAGGGATGGGTGTCTGTCTTAACAGTTAAGATCCATTTAAGATGTTTGTTTCGTGTATCAGAGAGCTTGCATTGGGTATCTTGCTCCAGTTCCTGATTCCATGTTTTTTTGTCAGTTTAAGCCCCTCAGATTTGAGTTGTTGTCTTATTTCTTTGCTTAAGCTTGGCAGGATTTACATTTGGGTATGAAAGACTGGATGGCAAATCTCTCTGAATCTCTGCCTTGTGCAATAAGCAAACAAACAGTTAAGTAACTATATAGATGAATATATGTGCAAAACAAATTGGCAAATACCACAGCTTTCTATATAATGCATTTTGCAGGCAGAGTCCCTGGAACAAATCACTTAGGGATAATGAGGAATAACTGTGTTTTTTTTTTTTTCCTTTTGGGATAGCTAACGAAGTTTAGTATTTTCATCTGAAATTGTCCTGAAGAGTTTTAATGTCTGTTAAAATTACATTTTAGGATTGTTTATTGCCTTTGCTGCATGGTTTGCTCTTTTAGGTTATCTGCTTTTTTAGTATTCTTACCTCATTACTCTTGCTGATTGTGGAAAAGTAGATCATTAAACAAATTGAAGGTATGCATAATGTAGAAATGAATTTTCTGAGTGAATGATTGAATGGGGTTGCTATCAGTAAGATCAGTATGCTCTTATATACAACCGTTGTGATCAGTGTTATGAAATGGATTGTGTTTTTCCTTGCCATTGCTTATTTTATTGTTGTGTGTTTATTGTTCATCCTAGTCCAGGGAAAGGCTCATGGATCTGTCATATATGAGTGAAAGTATAAACAGCTAAATATATATTTCTCTGATTGTTTTCTGTGTAGAACACTGATCCTAACACGCAGAATTCAGATTTTGCTATTTTGGAATTGTGGCTTTGAAAACTGGAGGATGTTGAAAAATACAACCATAGAAATCATTGTTATTTTCCTGCCTCCAGTTCAGCTCCATGAAGACCCACTGAACAGGGAAGTGATGTGACCTCACACAGGAAACGTCTCTAATCGTAGCCAGACATTTTCACTCTGCCCCTAAGCAGGGGTGATAGATGCTACATCTCTGGGTGCTGCAGTGATCAAAACGGGAGTCAGAGAGGTTTCCATGACTATCTACTCCAGCAGGATTTAAACCATTAAGCAGATAATATGGGGGGCTTAGGAGCTGATACTCAGCAAGGCAAAGCAGCTTATTCCTCATTTCTGAATTCTGTATCAGGGGAATCCAGGGAAAAGAGAAGTAGAATGAAAGTCAGAAGACTCTATTTCCATGTTTCTGTACATGGAAACATCTTTGTTCCACAAAGAACAAAGACTGTTTTGTTATTGTTGAGTGTTTTGTTGTTTCTTGTTTTCTGTTTTCTGTTTTCTGTTTTTTTTTTCTTTTGGAAGACTGTTGTAAAAACACCTTTCTTTCTTACTGGAATTCAGAACTTGAATTCAAGCATAGTCAAGTAGAATGGCACAGAAAAGGTCACAGAATCATCTTGATGGCTGATCAAGCTCTTATTAAACTGTATTTGTGTCCTCAGGCCCTTGCTCTAAATGCTTCCTAATTAGAATGAGCAATGAAATGTTGATCTGTCTTTAAGATATCTATTCCTGCATGTTCAGTTATTTTTCTGATAACATATATTTAAACAGATTACGTAGTTGGAAATCATTCTACTTTCTACTTGTTGGATTCTTTATTTTGTGGAGGATTAAGCCTATAATTGTAAAGTAAATTGAAAGGATGTGACTGGGAATGGTGGAGTGGGATAGGGAAATAAATCTTTGCAGACAGTGTGGGCATTCCATACAGACTCCAGTTTGAATTCCAGCTGCTCCACTTCCAATCCGGCTTTCTGCTAATGTCCCGGAAAAGCAGAAGAGGATGGCCCAAGTCCTTAGGCCTCAGGATTCACATGGAAGACAAGGATGAAACTCTTGAGTGCTGACTTTAGACCAGCCTAGTTCCAGCTTTGTAGCCATTTGGGGAATGAATCAGCAGCTGGAAGTTATCCCTTTCTATCTCACTTTCCCTCTTTGTAATGTTGCCTTTCCAGTAAAAATAAATGAATCTTTTTTTAAAGGAAGTATGCATTGTAAAGATGAAAGGGGAAAAAAAGGCAGGCAGGAGATGAGGGGAGGGAGAGAGCATGACCAAGTGCTTAAAATTGTGTATATGAAAGACATGAAATCTATTCTGCTTATATAAATAAGTAAATCAACAAAACAAAGAAGAAAGAAGATGAAGAAAAGCATTCTTAAGTTGACAGGAATTTGATAATTGATATGAGCATTACAGTGAAATTTTAAACATCTTATTTTGAATTTTAGATGTACAGAAAAGATACAACACTGCAGAAAATTTCTATTGGTGCTTTACTCAACTTTGTTTAACATTAGAATCTTACATGATCCTGATATAACTATTCAGACAGAAAATTAACATTGGTAGAAAAATATTAGCAAAGTCACAAACTTTATTCAGATTACATCTTGGTTTTCACTGTTGATTCTGAATTGTTCAAGAGCAGGAATAGTGTTATTGCTAATTTTCATATCAAGAGTGGACCGTGGTCAGTGTGTTCCAGAGTCGGTGATCAGTGAAATAAGTAAATGAATGAATGTGCTTCAATCCCCTGCTACTCCCTGTGTGAATTTGTGTGTAGATGTTTCACAGGCTTAGAAGTACATGTGAAAAGCCACTTAGGCTGTGATCTGAATGAATGCAGTTCAGAACTGAATTCTACACTAAACTTTGTGAAGACTAAGCATTTACAACTGTGAAAAATGTTCAGAAGCAAAACAAGCACATTAGAAAGGAAATATGAGTATGTTAGAGTAAATGAGTGTGTTAGGAAGATATAGTAGAATCCGTGAAATGAACAAAAAGCATAATGCTATTTTCTGTTTGTGTGTATACGCATGAAGGTTTGTACCTGTGCATTCATGTGCTCATGTGGGCGTGTGCTTGTGTGTATGGGTGTGCGTGCCTGTGCCTGTGTACTCTACCCTACTTTACGTGCCTCTGTAAGACAAACAGCAGCTTTGGAAGCTGATCTTGTGATCTTGGCAGATTTTAGCACTTACACATTGAACCAAATCACAGAAACACTCGTTTGGTGAGGGAAGTTAAACAGATGTTGCCAAGACTCATATTTTCTTTTACTACTGAGTTCGGTAGAGATGTTAATGAAGTGTGGTTTTACTGTCACAATGGCTATAACAACTTCAGATGGAAACACTCTCTTTTATTTCAATCTTTTTACAAAGAACATGAGAATAAGAGGCAAACTCAGAGTGATTTCTATTAGTAGCTTAATGGATCCCAAGGTAGCCTTTTTTTTTTTTTTTTACTGTTTTATTTTTTCAGCTCCTGTTAACCACACTTAAGTTTATGATGTCATGAAGTCTAGAAAAGTATCATTCTCAGTTGGGTTTACAAAAGTCTGATGGTAACAGGTTGATTTCAAAAAGTTTAACTTTCTAAACTTTCTAACTACTTTCTTGTTGTTTAGATGGAAGACGTCATAGCACGCATGCAAGATGAAAAAAATGGAATTCCCATTCGTACTGTCAAAAGTTTTCTTTCCAAGATACCTAGTGTCTTCTCTGGTAAGTTTGCATTCAGAACAGCTTCTTTTCTACAGCACTTGCCATGTGTGAAATAGTATTATTGTACGATGAAATGTTTCAGTGAAAAATTAGTTCTAATGCAACGGTTATCCTCAACTCCTCAGAGCTGAGCAGTGGCCAAACTACAGAGAGCAGGGAGGACAGGCAGGGGTAAATGGAAATGGATCAGGCTATAAGGATTTTTGAAAACTCACCAAGGGCACCTGATTCTTGTGTATGAGGAAACAGGAGCACTTTGAAATTTTTTGCAGAGTGTGTTATCATGTTCAGCAAGGGATACAGTCACGGTGGTAGTTACAAAGCCATAATTTCACAGCCATAGTTTGCGTTTTGAAGGTCTTAATATGCGGGAACTTGGGGAATAGAAGAGAAATCATGAGGATTTGATGAATAACTGGGCACATAAAGACATGCCCAAGCATTTTTTCTTGTCATTTTTCATTCAGTGTTTGAGAAATAAAGGAATCAGGACTAGAAAGATGGAAGCTTCCTGGGGAAGGAAGTCACTAGAAAAGTCTAAGAAGAAAGTGGAGAACACTAAGGGTAAACTCTGCCATGCAGCAGTGCAGGTTGGCTTGGGGACTGAGGCATATACCAGCCTAAACCCAGTCCAGCTTAGGAAAGAGTCTAGGTCAGTTGGACCAGCACCTTGGCTTGAGGTCAGGTGGACCAGACTTTTCAGCAAGGTATTAGAACAAGGAGGCTGGGCACAGGCAAGGAGAGTGGTTGCTGAAATTTACAAAGAAGGTTGTGTGATGCTTCTCACGAACCACAGTCTTGTGGGAAGGCCAGTGACTGGGAGGATTTCCACTTACCAAAGAGGAGAGATTCAGGGCTTGGGTAACCCAAGAGTTGGGGTTTGATTGTGTCATATTGCTCTCAGAGAGAAAAGAGGAGCTTGGTAAAAAAGATGCTAAGGTTTTCTAACTCTGTGTTCTCATAAGCCATGGTTTTTGTCTATATCCTTTATCCCCGGAGAAACCTTACATTTCCTGCAGGCAAGGAATTAGAGAGTTAATTTCACATCTGACTACAAATTTGAAACTATAATTCCTATTTGTTCAGCTACTACAAGGGATGAAATTATTTCCTTTGGAAACTAGGCTGATAAATACGCTAATGTTCCCATGCGAATTGTGATGTGTGATCCATTCAGCTGCACATAGCCTATCTAAAGACATTCCAGTTTGGGAATTTTATGACAATATGCAAGGTCACAAAAAAAGCTTTGCTCCTGGAATTAAAAATGGAGTGCAAGTTTGAGTTATTGTTTCACATTGTGATGTCTAAAGTTTTTGTCTGACTTCTCCGGAAATCATACCTCAAGAGCAATCTGTTGGAAAATTCTTGACAGAATTAATCTTTCCATTAAGATCTTAATTGAAAAGTGGGATTGGATATACTGGATGAAATTGAATCCTAAAATCTCTGATAATTGTTTTAATGCTCACTAATATAAAACTAATAAGATAGCTATTAAATTAAGGGGCTATAAATCATATTATTTGTATTAATATAATTAGATTCAACTTGCCCTTCTACATTCCCTAGAAATTTTTTCAGGAGCTCTGTGCTTCATGACTTCAGCTAGATAGATTGCTGCAGATTTAATTCTTGTGTCCACTGTTCTCTCTAGTATCTAGCAGCCTTTTTATAGTAATATTTTCAAACTATAGTAGTAGTCTTAAACCCCGTCCACTAAACTAGAAAATTTAAAAGCTTTTTTTTGTTAGGATGTTTTATTTTTATTGAAAAAGAAGATTTGCGGATAGAAGCAGATATAGGGAGAAAGCTCTTCTATCTGCTGGTTCACTCCCCAACTGGCTGTGATGGCTGTGATGGCTGGAGCTGAGCCAAAGCCAAGAGCCAGGAGCTTCTTCTGGATCTCCCACACGAGTGCAGGATCTCAAGTTGGGATCCTACTAGATTGCTTTCCTAGGCTACAGGCAGGGATCTGGATGGGAAATGGGGCAGATAGGACATGAACTGGTGCTCACATGGCATCCTGTCACTTGCAAGGAGAGGTTTTAGCCACTAGGCCATTGTGCCAGCCCCTCCATATCTTGTTTTAGTGTGCTGTCATTTACATGATTTGACTTGGCGAAGTCCTATTTATAATTATATAACAAATGCTATATTATCCACACAATTTCTTTCCTATCTCTATATATTAAATACCACAAACGAGAGAAAGTAATTGCCTTTTTTTTTGTTCTGGCTTAATTTTGCTTGTCATATTATTCTTTATTTGCATCCATTGATTTCAGAGATTTGTCTATATATTTAAAAGGAAGAGTTATAGAGAGAGGGAGAGAGAGAAAAAGGGAGGTAGTGAGAAAGGTCTTTTGCTTTTTGTTGTTGTTACTTTCCATGATAAGGTTTATAGGTATGGTGATTTCCCTCTGCCTACCCCATTTCCTCCCTTCCCATTATCCCCACCTCGCCACCATTTTCCCCCATGTTATCACAGTAGTATAGTCCTTTACTAGCAGGTGTAAGTTTAACATTCTGCTATTTAAAAGTGTATCATGGCACTGCATGTATAAGCAGAAGTAGACAATCTAGTGTCATAGTGCCAAGGTGTATTGAACTGTTTCACTTGGAGTCCTCCTTTTATTCAGGAGATGAGATGCATACTACAATATATCTTCACAAAAAGATCCTCTGTGTTCTGGCTTACTCTCTAAATGGCTGCAATGGCAGGGGCTGGGCAAGACTGAAGCCAGGAGCCAGGAGCTTCTTCTGTGTCTTTGACTAGAGTGCAGAGGCCCAAGCACTTGGGCCATCCTCGATTGCTTTCCCTGGGCTATTAAGAGGGAGTTATTTAGGGCACATGACTTCTCCCTTACATATCTATTTTCTTCATTTTTCCCTCATTTTCTAATTATTTTTCTGCTTTTCCTTGCCTTTTTTCAGTGTTGGTGTGAGTGTGTGGTGCTGGTAATGTCATTGGTGTGAATATTGCTTGGAGGCGTAGTTTGCAGGTAAAGAATAAGCCATTAAGACATATCTGAGAAGGACATATTATATGTTCGGAGGTTGATTAGTCTAGAATTCTCTCCACTCAGGGAGTCATCTGGGCCTTTAGCTGAATCTGTCCATCATAATATAAGATGAAAGAGGAAGTTCAAATATTACTGCATTAGTTTCAAAAGTGCCCATGGAATTTTTACACAAGGATCTCTTCAAATTACAAAAAATAACTGTAAAGCTAGAAGTATGTTTGCAGATTTTGTGAGGATTTTCTCTAAATGAATCCCGTAAGTATTATTCTTGCATGTTAGCTGTTTTCCTAGCCTTCATATTCTATAACTTACAATGTTTATTCATTCTCTCATCTGAAAATCTTTGTTAAAAGAAACCGTGACTATCGTGTCTGCTGAAAATCCTTTATATTTCAACTCTGAACAGAGATCTAAATCTAAATGGGAACAAAGAAATTGATGAACAAAAGAGGAAATGATTAATTTTACCTTTTGCAGAATATAAGGTCCATTGTTGATAGTGTTTTGCAGCTATACCATGGATTTGAATATATACATATTTGAATGAACAGAAACTGACCTTGCAAGTTTTCATTTTTAACAAGTGTTTTTTGTACTTTGTTTCCAGAAATTTTATTGAAATGATATGGAATATTATCTGAATATAATAATCAATATTTTGGAGAGCTCTAGTATAAGATTTAGTATGTATGTTTAAAGATTCATTTATTTTTATTGGAGAGGCAGATTTACAGAGAGGAAAGACAGAAAGATCTTCTATCTGCTGGTTCACTCCCAAATGGCCGCAGTGGTCAGAGCTGAGCCAGTCTGAAGCCAGGAGCCAGGAACTTTTCCTGAGTCTCCTGCACACGGGTGCACGGTTCCAAGACTTTGGGCCATCCTCGACTACTTTCCCAGGCTCCAAGCAGGGAGGTGGAAAGGAAGTGGAGCAGCTGGGACATGAACTGCATGTGGATGATGTGGAATATTGTTCCTTAATAGGACTCTTGCTCTGTTTTCTTTCTCAAGGTAAGTTTTCATAGGTTCAGTTGTGAATTTCGTGTATCTTCCAAAATGAGTGAATCTCTTCCCATAAACTCCAAAAAAGTAAGATTCAATACATTGTTTCTGCTTAAATATTCCAAATACGCCTCAAACTCAACCTTTTCCAGAACTGAATTTCATAATCTTAACTTCAGCCTTTTTTCCTGTTTTCTCTCTTGGTAAAGGTATTGTAGAATACAAATTCTGAAGTCACTTTTACTTTCTATGAACTCCTCAACTCAGAACTTTCCTGCCAGCGTTGTTTTCTAAGTAGCTGTGAAATACTTTAGTTCTGGCCATCTCCTGTTACATAGCTCTGATCCAAAGTATCATTGCTGCCCACCTGAACCATGGCATCAACTTCCAACTAGCCTCAACATCTGTTCTCAAAATCATTTGACCTGGGACCTATCATCAGTGCCAGTAAATTGTAAAAGTCACCACAAAAAGAAAGTACTTTGAACTTCAAGAGACAGTAAATTCTGGGGAAATGATTAGGAAAAGCATGCAGCAGGGGTCACTAATGGCAGCTATGTGTTATTTTAGTAGCATTGATTTGACCGCTCTCATATTACTGTTGACTCCCAGGTATGTTGACAGTATTTTCTTAGTGGTGCTGTAGAAAATCTATGCCCTGTTTTTAGGCAAAAGAGAGTAAAGCAGAGAATCCTTCTTGCAGCTTCCATCCCTCTGTTGCTTGCCGCTCACAATAATCAGTATACCAGAACGGCATAGTTTGTTGTAATATATAAAAACCCTTTTACTCCCAAGCAAAAATATGATCTGTCCCTACCTGCCTATCAGATCACTTGGTGTTTCTTGACTCTAGCTGTATAGATCATTCTTCAGTTCCTGGCATTCCCAAGCTGCCTCTTACCTCCTGGGTTTTCCACTGCTGTGCCTCTTTATCTGAAATGCTTTTCCTCTTGGTCCTTCTTTAGACTTCTTTAG